TTTTTATTCTCATTTATGTTGATGACTTCTTAGTAACAGGCAATGATCCCGTGACAATCCAGAATCTACTACAACAGTTGCGGTCTCAATTTGCCCTCAAACAGCTAGGAAACATCTCTCTCTTCCTCGGTATCCAGGTAATTCAATCCACCACCGGTTATTTCTTATCACAAAAACACTATGCTACAAAACTTCTTCTTGAAGCAGGTTTTGAAAACAGCAAGCCGGCCCCAACTCCTATAGCTCCCGCATCCAAGAAGATCGGACAGCACACTCAGCCATTCCATGATCCAACTCTTTACCGTCGACTCGCCGGATCGCTTCAATATCTGTCCATCACGAGGCCGGACATCGCCTTCGCAGCCAACCGCGTCTGCCAACATATGCAACACCCGACGGATCAAGACTTCCAAGATCTCAAACGTCTTCTCCGCTACATCAACGGCACTCTCTCGTACGGCCTGCCCATCTCCCTTGGGTCGCTCGAGCTGCACTCCTACTCCGACGCCGATTGGGCATCGGACTCCTCGGACCGCAAATCTATTTCAGGATTCTGCACCTTCCTAGGTCCGAATCTCATATCTTGGACGGTGAAAAAGCAAGCTACGGTCGCAAAATCATCCACCGAAGCCGAATATTGGGCTCTATCCGCGGCCATATCGGAGGTCATTTGGCTCTGCAGACTAGCCGCCGAGCTCCATCTTCCGCAGCCGTCTCCTACAACCATCCATTGCGACAACACTTCCGCCATCGCAATCGCAAAGAACCCGGTCTTCCACGCATGAACAAAACACATAGAGATAGATTATCATTTCATTCGACAACAGATCAGTGCCGGCGATATCAAATTGGTCCACATCTCCTCCAAAGATCAAATTGCTGACATCTTCACAAAGCCGTTCTCCACCACACGATTCAACGATCTTCTAAACAAATTAACCATTCGATCCTCGAATGCTTAATTTGAGGGACGATATTAGAATGCTATACATATTAGTATTTATGTGATTGTATTTACGGCTTATACCATTATTTTCCTTTATAAACTCTGGCATTGTATTCATTTCTAAATAATAAGATTTCTACTTTTCCTTTCTCCTTCTTCCTGTACTGCTCTCTTCTCCGGTTCTTGTTCTTGGTTCTTTCTCCTGCTTATGCTCTCAGTACAAGCTATAAAAACTAACACGAACATTCTATGTCTTTATGGTTTGTAGAAGAAAAACTGGTTGAAATCCTTTACCCCTGAATCAAGCCTCTTCATTTCAGGTTTTAATGCTACAATTAGTAGTACTACTTTAAATATCTTTGCCATTCCTACCAAGGACATAATTTTTATTTATCCAAGCTTCGTCATCTTTGTTCTTTTATTGGACACAGGACGCCTCTTGTTGATTAATCTAATTTCTATGGTCTTTATCTTCTAGATCTGTGATTCTGGTTTCCTGGATTCCTTTCAGGAAACGTAACACATTTGTTACTGCATGAGAACATTAATAACTCATTTTTTATTTTTTATAAAATCTTCAACACTTTTCAGCGACTCAATTTGATTAATCATGTTGTAAAGAATACAGCTGTTAAGGAAACAAAAAAGAGCTAATGTGAACTAGAGGATTGTATGGGGAAGGAAGGGGTCGAGCAGGGGTGGTTTATGTTGGAATTTTTATTTATGTGCACTCTCTTTTTATTTCCAAAATTGTTTTTGAGTTTGAAATTCCCTTAAATGTTAAAACGCTTTATTTGAAGACCGATCTTCAATTCCCAAATGATTCTGAAACACCCGCTGTATTTTTAGACAGGAATATGATTCAAGCAATATTTCTTTTTGTTGCATCTCTTCTTAAATATTTGAACATCTCTTGGACAAGTGAGATTAAGTTGCCTCCTTGCGAGTTTTCCTATGCTTTTAACTTGTCCTGTTCTCACAAGCTTGTATTTTAAAAGAAATATCAATATTAATAAGATGCATACTGAAAATAATCTGCAATAGACATTTATAAAAAAACTGAACCAAAGTGTCGTCTTTCAGACATGCTTCGCTAATCCTGTAATGGACATGGTTATCCTAGTAGTAACTAATAACTTCATACAGTTGTGAGCATGCATTACATGGATTCATATTGACCTTTTGTTATTTGAATGCTAAGTATATTGCTCCACCTTATAGGTATGGGTTTTCCACAAGGAGTCAACTTGGATCAGTGCAATCTTTTGGGTCTGCCTTTTAATATGCCTTGGCAGGTACTTTGTTTTAAAAACTCAATTTGCTTACATTATTCACCTCTGCAAAGGGTTGGGCTTAATTATATGAACCTGAGGTGGACTATGTCTTGAATCATCATCCTTATTCCAACTGTTTATAGCTTTATGAATCATCATTCTCATTCGGATTTGGGACCAAAATTGGACTTTGGACAAAAAATTCTGATTTTTCTGACAAACTAAGGATTAGAAAGCTGCTTGCTTGAGGCGCTCTTTGGATTTAGCAATGATGCTGCCAAAGCACAGATGATTTGAATTTCTCAAATAAATATAATGCTCTGAGGTGACGTAGTGGTGATCTTGTAGATAAAGATTTCATTCTTGATATTGCCCTTCCTTATTCTCTTGATTGACTTGATTTTCCTTTTCAACGTGGGAGAATTAAGTAAAAGAGGAAGAGGGGGATGATTGTTTGAAGAAACTTAGAAGTCTTATTATTTTGGCTTTTTCTTGACTAAGAGATGTTACGGCTTGAAAAGAGAGGAACTAAAATACCTTGGCATGTAGGCCTCATGAGAGCGGAGTGGGCGATTGTTGAGGAGAGAGAAATGGATCATGAATCCTATTTCTTATGGGCTAGAGAAAGGAGCCAATGGTAAAGACAGAAATATAAGAGAGAAAAGAATGAATTGTGGATGATTTTTAATTTTAAGTTAATGATCATACAAATGACATGTTTATAACTCTATTTATAGGAATAAGTTTTCTGTTTAAATTAAAAAATAATCTTATCATTTAATCCAAATTCAAATAAAATCCCATCATCAAATTCAAAATTAAAAATACATATATCTAAAAGGACAATTTTTACCTAATTTAAAAAATATATATTTGACTATTAAAATAAATATTAGAAAAGGATCAAAATAGTCTCTCAACTCATTATGAGAGATCAAAATGATCCCCAATTTTTTTGAGGGTCCAATTTGGTCCCTCAGCTCCTCCAAATGGGATCTATTTGGTCATGCCATCTAATGGTAAAGTTGACGGTGCCAAGTATGATGGTAATTTGATCATTTTTAATTTAAATATTTAATAAATAGAATTTTTTAGGAATTATAATTTTTGTAAAACAATATATTAAACTTTTCTTTAATTTCAAAATTTCTAATCATTTCCACCTATAAACAATCCAATTATAGCGTCAAAAACAGTAAATCCATGAAGCGGTATAATAGTAACTGCAAGATGATTGATGACTATAATTAAATTAAATTTAATGTGTTATTAATTTAATTGCATGTTAAATACGATCAAGATCATATGGTTCCATCATCCCGGACCATCGTAATCAGAGGAGGTAGTCGACCCAACCTGATAGAAGGATCCTTGTCAGCAGCCATGGGTTGCGTCGTCCAAGGGTATCTTGTAGACCTCGGGTGAAATTTGAATTTACCTTAGCTGGCAGAGGGCTTTATGCCTTATCGTGAATATCCTATTGATTTATATCTTAAGGGTTTATGCCATTGGGGAACATACGAGTGCTGATCATGACCATAATATAATGGTGTAATTTCGCGGAGAACCACTCGTTTCAAAGGGTCCCGATCATAACTATTTATTTGTGACGTCATTTGTAATGACTGGTTTAGCTGGGCCAGTTCAACTGAACTGGCCAGCTTCTCTTAAAAACCCGATTTAGGGGAACGAACATGCGGACAAGCCGCGACAGAGGTGACCCGTTCGCGAGCACGGTCGAGCTTAGGAGGGTCAGTTTGCGATTCTAAACGAAGGATCGCGTTCGTAGGAATAAATTAACGACTACTCTCATGATATATAGTTAGCTCGCTCTTTTTGGTAAGAGAAATCGTGAGAAGAAAAGTTTCTGTTGAAGGAGCGGACGGTCGGCTACGTGCGTGAGAGCGAGGTAAGTTCTTTTTTTTCCCAATTTTATTAATCGATCGTGTTAAAGGATGAGAATAATCAACTCATTTTCATTCCCACAGCTAAAAGATAGACAAATTTGGGAGAAGTTTCAACGAACGAGAGGAACGACGAGGAAAAGAGAGAAAAGGTTCGTTTTGCAAATTTTTTGTATAAATTGATTCCTAATTATTTCTCTAATCATTAGAAACATTAAATTGAAGATAGAAGAAGGAATCAAAGGCAAGGGGATGGAATTTTGGGAGAAGGATTTAGGGATTTTGAGAAAATTCCTATTTTTCCTTTTGTAAGTGACTCTCCTAGTAAACAAATTTAATTCAACTTTGTTATGAAAGCACGTTTTTATAGAAGTTATATTTTGTGGATGTTGTAGGAACTCGAAGTTGAGGTTGCTCCAAGGATCGAGAATTTTGAAGGATTAAAGCGGGTAAATTATGTTGTTTTATAATTTTATTCATAATTGGAATCTTTTAAAGTAATTGATTAATTGTGTATTACATAATGTTGAAGATATTATAATTTTGTAGTCTTATCAAAATTCATCCATTATAAATGTTTGAAAGTTTATGGAAATGAAAGGTAATACTTATAAATGCACATGCAAGATATGTTATATACAATTATAACAATGAGGATGAAAAAGAAAAAAAAAAGAAAAATATAAAAGAAAAGAGAAGTAAAAAGTCATATATGTATGAAAATAAAACAAATGTAGCATAAAAGTAAAAGATATTGAAAACTACAGTAGTTTACCCCCTTATGGTACTGGCTGGGGACGTCGTTCTCGTGCACTTAAAAGAAAAAGGAAAATATTATGGAAATGGAAAAGGGAAATAAATGAAAAAGGTTGTACCTTTGGGTTCTTTGAGATGGTGCTCCTGTGCAAATCAAATGGGAAAAGAAAATATAAATGAAATATTAAAGATTTAAATTATTTTAAAAGAAAAATGTTCGGAGATGTATAAATTAATGAAATGAAAGAAATAAGATTAAGAAATTATAAAATCCATATTAATCATTATTTATATTGATTGTTTTAAATAGATACCCACTGAGTTTACTTAGTAAACTCAACCCACTAGTTTAAATGCTTCAGGTAAGTTCCTAAGAAAAGAAATGGCTGAAAGAGAAGAATTTGTCTACAGAAGGCGGCGTGCAAATGACGACAGATAAATCTACATTTTGTGTTTTAGTGGCTTTTCAATACAAATGAAGAAGTGGTATAATGTTTAATGAATTTTATCGTCCGACTTTTCATACCCGCCTCATTAGGTCGAGCATCCGGGCCGGGTCGTGACAAAAGTGGTATCAGAGCAAGGTTAAAATAAGAATCATACTGAAAGAGCCATTAGGATGATTATTAATTATTTTAATGTTAAATTATTATGTTATGGACAACATGAACCAAAATAAGTATGAGGAAGAGGAAGAATAAGTGGAAAGAACAACACTTAATATTCCTGTTAATTCTAATGCATTAGCTCAAATGATGACAGCTGTGACTCAGCTGATTCAAGATTGAAGAATTCAAGCATCGGGGAGTAGTAGTGGTGGTGGAATGGTTATGGATAAGTATCCGAAATTATTTCAGAATATGATACCAACATTATTCAAGGGGGTAGAGGGACCAATAGAGGCT